CTAGTTCAAATGGCCATGAGGGTGCATCTATCTAAAATACTAATCTGACCAGGGACCCTATCACTCTTTGGTTTAAAAACCATCCCATGACTGCATTGTCTAAAAGGTGAAATTCCATATCTGTGCATCCCCCCCTTGAGGATCATCTCCCACTTTTAAGTGAAATTAACACTTTCACTAATGGGAGGTCATCTTCCTGAGATCTGCTGAGGTACATTGCCCTGGGCAAAGGGCCACTTCAAAATTAGTGCCATCACCTAATAGAGGTTAGGCTCATTCTCTCAGCATTTGGACCCCATGTCTGTGATGGGAATACCTAAATCTCCAGGGCAGTTGTATTAGTTAGGAATATGTTTGCTCTCATGTAATTAAAAAACCAAAAACAAACAAAAAAAACCATGATGGCTTAAGCAAGGCAAAAACTTATTTCTCTTTTAGATAACTGAAGTTGAGAGGCAGGTCTTCTAGGACTGGTATGCAGTGCTATGGATTCCTCAGGGATCCAGGTTCCTTCTAGCTCTGATTTCCAGTCCTAGGGTATGCCTATATACTCATGGTCCAAGATAGTATTCCAGCTATCTAATCCTGTCCTAGGAACAGCATGGGGGGAGAAAGGGAAGAAATATATCACCTCATCTATTATTATCAGTAGTCTCATGTACTTTCATTTATGTTTCACCACCTCATTGGCCAGAATTTGGTCACATGGTCAGTGCGAGCTACAAAAAAAAGCTGGAGAATGCATTTCTCATTGCCACATTAAGTAGATTTATTATTCTGTTGTGAGAAAATGGGGAAGAATGGATACTGGGGGCTTGGCGCCTGTGGCTCAACCGGCTAAGGCGCCAGCCACTTACGCCTGAGGTGGCGGGTGCGAGTCCCCAGCCCAGACCCGCCAGGCAACGATGGCGGCTGCAACCAGAAAATGGCCGGGCGTTGTGGCGGGCGCCTGTGGTCCCAGCTGCTTGGGAGGCGGAGACAGGAGACTCGCTTGAGCCCAGGAGTTGGAGGTTGCCGTGAGCGTGATGCCATGGCACTCTACCCAGGGGGATAGCTTGGGGCTCCGTCTCAAAAAAAAAAAGAATGGATACTGGGCATGGCCTGGTGTGTTCATGTCTGTAACCACAGCACTTTGTGAGGCTAAGGTGAGAGGATCACTTGAGGCCAGGAGTTTGAGACAAGCCTGAGCAGCATAGTGGGACCTGTTTCTACAGAAAATTAAAGTTAGCTGGGCATGGTGACACTTGCCTGTACCTGCTTGCAGTCCTAGTTACTGGGGAGGCTGAGGCAGAAGGGCCACTTGGCCTAGGAGTCCAAGGTTATAGCAAGTTATTAATATGAGCAAGCAAGATCTTATCTTGGCCTAGGAGTCCAAGGTTATAGCAAGTTATTAATATGACACAGCAAGATCTTATCTCTATTAAGAAAAGAAAAATCTTGTCATAGCCTTTCAGAAGTTTAAAAAAGTGTAGTCTTTACGATCTATGTATTAACAAAGTATTAACAAAGTATTAACAAAGCTAGGCGTGATGATGGACTTTTGTAGTCCCAGCTACTGGGGAGGCTGAGATGGAGCTCAAGTGCAACCTGGGCAACATAGAGGGACCCTGTGTTAAAAAAATTTTTTTAATTGTTTTTAAGTTTTAAGGAATTTTTAAAATGAAAATTCTATAAAACAACCAATTACAAAATACATAGAAATCAACAGCATGGCTGTATATAAAAGTAATAACCAGTTATAAAATACAAGACAAACTCATGAAGTGAAAAGAGATAGAGACATGATGGATATAAAAAACAGTTTCAAGTTTGGATTACAAAATTATACTAAAATTTATTTGCAGAAATATGAGAACAGACAGGAAATGGCTGTAAAAGAAGACAAAGGTAACTTTTTCTAACATCTGAAAAATTTTAATAAGGCTATAGCTGGTTGAACAGTTTGATGTTAGAGAAGAAATAGATCAGTAGAACTGAATGCAGTCCAGACATTAATCCAAATATATATGGCCATTTAGACTATGGTATAGGTGGCATTTTATTATTTATTTATTTATTTATTTTTTGAGACAGTCTCACTATATCTCCCTGGGTAGAGTGCTGTGGCATCACAGCTCACAGCAACCTCAAACTCTTGGGCTTAAGCAGTTCTCTTGCCTCAACCTCCCAAGTAGCTGGGACTACAGGTGCCCGTGACAATGCCCAGCTGTTTTTTGTTGTAGTTGTCATTGTTGTTTGGCAGGCTTAGGCTGGATTCGAACCTGCCAAATCTGGTGTATGTGGCTGGCGCCCTAGTCACAGAGCTACATGCACTGAGCCAGTATAGGTGGCATTTTAAATCAGTAGGGAAAAGAATTATTCAGTAAATGGTAGATACAATTCATAAGTGGCTACTATTTTTTCTTTGCTAACTTTAGGTTTCAACTCAACTGTTAATATTATAAAACTTTTCTTTTTTAAAAAAATCCTTAGAAGTGTATTTTACAATGGTACATAAAATAAAATTGCTGGTTTATAATAAAATGCTCAAAGTTTCAGAGATATGAAAAACAAAATGACCTAAAAACACAGATTACATAAACAGAGGTCCCAGAAAGGAAAATTAAAAGCAGTCTTTTGGGCTCGGCGCCTATAGCTCAACCGGCTAAGGCGCCAGCGACGTACACCTAAGGTGGCGGATTCGAATCCCCAGCCCGGACCCGCCAAAGAACAATGACAGCTGCAACCAAAAAATAGCCGGGCGTTGTGGCAGGCGCCTGTGGTCCCAGCTACTTGGGAGGCGGAGGCA